ACCTAAAACCCTAAAAATGCCATTTTTTAACTATTTAGTGCAGTGAAACCATAAGCATTTTTGAAATTTTGCAAACACAGCAGGCAGTGGTTTGTTTCTGCTATTGTGGTATACTATAATTAAACTTTAGAAAAACAAAATGGCCGTTCAAATTTACCGTTATCCATTTTTTCCAAATTTTTGATGTCGTTTTTCTTCTAGACCCCAGTCTGTGGAAGCCTGTATTTTAGGGGCTTTTAGACACTAATAAATGCTTCATTTCATTAGAAGAAAATTTTTTTCCATTTCCACCCCCACTCAAGTTATTGCCTCTTGAAATTTGTAAAATTTGAATTTTTGACACCTTATATTTCCGAAACCGCAAGATTTTTCAAATTTCTATAAACGCATAAAGCTAACGGTAAATTCCATGACATTAAAAATTATAATTATTTTTCTTAACTTCACAATTAACCCTTAAAATCGAGCATTATGTTAACCCCACTTTATATTAATATTCGCTTTATTTCAAAGACTGCATAAATCTTTCATCGTAAATATATGCAATACTAGAAATAGTTTCGTTTATGATTGAAAACAATTTTAATAGTGTGGTGGATATACATACACTGTATTAGCAGTATTTTCATTTGTTGAAGGGAAAAGTGCTACAACACAAACCATTGGTTTGACCCAACTTTATTATCTTATAATATTGACTGTATAATATAAAGTTAGCTGCTTGCATTTTAAAGAACCTGTGTGTTAAAAAATTCGAGACAATATTCATATTGTTTCAAAAGTTAAAAATGTTCACTATAGTCACTATACTATTACAAAATAAATAACTTTTTACTACCATTGCATAATATGTAAACATACTGCTGCTGACCAATACAATTGAGTGTATGTTTGATCTGTCGTAATGTTGACTTGCATTTAACGAACTAAAAAGTGGATGCGGCCCTATACCATACTACATATATACAATTTTCTTATTTAATTCTGTTTTTATATAGCAAAATTGCATAAATTTTGGAGTATAACCAGTATCTCTTTGAATAGATGGTGGAAAAAAAGGAAAACCAAAAACAATATTTTATCGAAATTCATAAAATTAAATTAAAATAAATAATTAAAATTCCAAATAAAGAAAATAAAAGAAGGCGCATGAAAAAAGTCATGGGATTACTTTCGCTTTCTTATACTCAATTCAACCTGTTGCTGCCACTGTTGTTGCACTTAACTTATGTCTAGATTTTAGCTTTGTTCATTGAACTTTTTCAAAATAAAACCAAAAAAAAAAAAAAAAAACAAAAAATACTAATTGAGTTTTTTTTTCTCATTTCATGTTTGTGCCTTAATTTACCGGCTTTTAACAGTCAAGTATAAAATTTCTGTTATTTTTATTTTGTCGGATTTATTTGTATTTATTTAAATATATGAATATGTGTATGTAATAATCAAAATTGTTAGCATTTGAATTTGATTTGGTTTTTATTAGAAAATTACATTATATTGTATTTTGTATATGTACATACTATGTTAAGTATACAAGGTGTGAAAAATTAAATAGAGAGAACCATGCATTATTAATGAGATTTTATTGTAGTCATTTTGTAATTAAATATATACATATGTATACAGGAATTGGTAAAAATTTACAAAGAGATTTATATTTATAATCGTGTTTAAAAAATGAAATTGCGTATGAAATCTGATTGGAATTAAAATTGAATTGTAAAATTTTCTAAAAAAAAGAGGAAAATAAAAAAATTAATCTAATGTAATTAATGACATTTGAAAAAGTAATTACAATTATAAGCCCCTAAAAATTTAAAATTTTCATTTTTTTTTGTTAATTTGCATACATACATACATATGTATATATGTATGTATTTAAAAAAGAAATAAATTCATAAAGTAACCTGTGTCTGATTAAATAATATTTTATTGAGGAAAATTTTTGAAATTTACATTATGTAATCATATATAGACATGTTCACATTTTTCATGCAATGTTTCTGGATGGATTTAAAAAATGAAAATGGAAAAAGGTCCTATAAAATTGAAATTAAATGAAAATTTGAATTTAGAACTTGAAAAATTAAAATTTTCTATAAAAATATTTCTTTGAAGTTTCTTTAATTTGACATTGACATTTTATTATTTTAGGTAATTTTTTTCATTAATTAGTTTTCATAAATTAATTTTAATGCTTTTTTCAGCTCTACAGCATGCATAGCAGTTTATTAAATGTTTTCATATAGTTTTTCCTGTAACGAAATGATTTAAGAGCCATCTGTTTGACTTTCAAGAATGTAGTCGATTAAAACTGTAGTTAGTAAAATGACATATTTTCTATAAAACAATTTTAAGTTAGCCATTAATATATAGACATAATTTTAGGGGAATATTGAATTGTATCGCTAAAAAAATTAGTTGAGACATATGGCTAAGGCATCTGGGTGAGAAACGATCACGGAAGTTCGACGATCACGGAAGTGTGATGGTAATTTACTGTGTCGAAGATATGAAAGACTGAAATGAATGTATGAATTCCAAAAATTCATCCCATATAACGTTTGACAGGTATCTAATCACATTATATATCGCTGGCAAAACTGTGATACCACTAAGTGCAAATATTTCCAAAAGTACTTTACCAATTTTCTGTTTAGGAAATGTCAAAGAATTCATCTTTTAAATTTATGAAAATATGAAAATTATTTAAAGAATATGTAATTATTTATTAGTTTTTACTGTTTTGTAAATTTAAAAGATGGATTCTTTGACATTTCCTAAACAGAAAATTGGTAAAGTACTTTTGGAAATATTTACACTTATGTGGTATCACAGTTTTGCCAGCGATATATAAAAAATAGGTGTAAATATTATATGCAATATTCTTGATATATCTACGTTCATAATCTATATGTACTTCTTGCATATAAATATACTATGTTGTGAGGCAAATTAAAATAACGTTAATTAGTAAAATATGTATGTACATATGTTGTAAAGTTATGTACTTATACGATATAAATTTTTGCTGACAAATTGTTAACAATTGATTGAAATAAAAACAATGACAGATGAAGAATCAAATACATTATAATTTTCTATACTTAATTTTACATGTATTTATGAATATACATGTATGTAGGTATGTAAATGTTTACGAACACAAATATTTGTACTTATAGAGAATATAAAATGACTCACGTATATATTCGAAACTTTTGTAGCGTATCATCTGAACATGACATATAAACAATTGTGACAAATAAATTGACGAACATGAAAAAAAGGAAATTTAATTTTTTTTCTCTGTGCTTAAAACTTTCTCATACAAGTGTAGTTTTTTTTTAAGTGAAAGTAAAATTTACTTCAAGAATAATAGAGAAAGTAAAAATGAGTATTTGTTCTTTACGTACAAGTGCATATTTTAAAAATTTTACATGTTTTATAAAAGTTTTAGACATAAAAAAGAATTTTATGGAACATTTTGATCTGTCAATAGTTTGAGCTTTGTCTACATCTTACGTAAGTTTTAACCATCCACAAGGATTTAATATTAGCAGATCTTCTTGAATAAAATTTTTTTGGGTTCAAAAATTCAAATATGACTACAGATAAAGAGAGTCCCAAATTTAGCTAAAGGAAGTTTTGACTAAGATTTTATGTTTGTAACCAGTTTTGTAACGACTCGATATGTATACAAAAAATTCCAACTAATTCCAATTTTCAGGATTTTCTGTTAGAAAGTTTAAAATATTACAAAATTTATTTATTATTCTTGAAAAAAAAAATTACTGAGCCATTTAGAATTTATAAGCATAAACTCATGAAATGTATTTTTCACTTTCTTCTTAATTTATAATATGGAAAATTGATTGTCGAAAAGTTGGAAGAAAAGTTTTCCTTTGGAAAATTTGAAATATAAACATAAAAAATTAATTTTTAAAAATTTCAATTAGAAAGTGAAATTTTTCAAAGTTCATGAACTATTTTTTATTTAATTACCTAAACCCAATTAAATTAATGATTTTGTCAAACATAAAAGAAAATATTTATAAAATTTTATAATACAATTATTCTTTAAACTATAAAATTTATTTTATTCTGAGTGTATGTAGCTTAATAGTGTATGTAATTCGCACCCTTCAATGGTAAATGGTCGCTGTTGCGATAATGAGATTCAGTTTTAAAATTTCAATTGTAATACTTTAGTACTTTTTAACTTAAATTGAAGTTTTTCTCGTTGAAGTATGTGAAGTCATCTATCGGAACAAATGTACGTAACTTCTCTTAAATGGAGTACTGTAAATGTGTTTACATTTTACTTTCACAAATAACAAATTACAATAATATTCCAGCAGAGGTGATGTCAACTGTTCATCAACCATCTATGAAGTTAAAGTCACTCAATTGAAGAATTATGAAATTTATAAAGTAAAGAAATTCATGTACTCATAAATGTGAAATATATATAGTCACCAAATAGTTAATAGTTAATTTCGGTTATTTTAAGTGAAAACTGTCATACATATGTAAAAATAATATAAAAATATTTAATATCACAATAGGTATTGTTTAAGTTCATCTCTTAACAATTATTTCAATTCACAATGGATATTTTTTGCAATCTTCTTTTTCTGTAAAATGCAATTATTTCTACTATGTATATAATTCATTTTTCAGTTCCAAGATATGCGACAAATTTGTGACATTTTTGAATGTTTATAAATATGGTTGAATTTCATGAAAAATATTTTATTTAAAATTCACTTTTAATGTCATTAAGTTCAAATGTTTTGTTGGTGTTGCAAAAACGCAACTATAACGCAAAACGATTTCTTTTTTAAAAAATTATGAAAAAATTATTTTCAATTATTTTTCTAATAATTTATTCGATTCTATTCCTAGAATGTAACGGAATAAAAGTTTTAGAAAATACAACAAAAGAGATTGTTAATAATAATAATGGATCGTCATCAAAGACTGCTAAAATCAATTCAATGGTAAAATCGGATGAGCCAGAGAAAAATCAAAATACCATAAAAAATCCTACTGGCAATGGAATAACATCAAAAGGACCTGTTGTTTATCCAGATAATAATGAAAATAATAGTGATATTGTAACTAAAATAAGGTAAGATCCAAAAAAAGATATAGCTTGTAAAATAAAAGATGTTTTGTTTAAATTAAAACAGGATTGAAGTAAAAGATGATGAGCAACCGTCACACCAAACTGTAACTAAAAATAATGTTTGGGTAGCAAACAACAATTCAAATAGGTGAATTCTTACTAGAATTTGTTAAAATTTTCCAAATTTTACTTAAAAGTACGATATTTTAACAAAATCAATTATTTTAGTGCTCAAGTTAGGCAATCTTTAAATTCCGGTATAACAATAACTAGCCCTGAAATTGTACAAATTGTCAATAAAGATTCACGTAGTGGAAAAAATTTTAAAGATTTTGTACCATCACCAGAATTAAAAACACCTCTAACAGAAGAAATACTACATCAAAATTATATGAATGATCGTACAAATTTAAAACTTCAAAGACTTCAAGTACAACAACAATCATTACCAAAATCTCAACATACTGAATCATTTCAGCCTTCTACAGTTTTAAAAAATCCATTCCAGTATTCGGCTACAACTTCAATTCCATTAACATTTACAACAGTTAATACAAATGATCAACAACAAGAAAAACCATATCAAAATCAATATCAAACGCAACAATCTCGTCCTTTTCCAGCTTCGACGTTAGGAAAACCTAATAGTCATTATAAAAATGATGAAGATATTGGGTCTTTGCCTGTTTATCAAAAATTTAATAACGAAAAAAATTATTCACCTTCTAAATCACAATTAAATGATAATAAAGAGACTAAAACAATAAAAGATAATTATCAGACATCCGGAAATCAATATGTCCGAAATGAAATTACATGGCCTACAAAAGAGAAAGATTATGCTAAAGGACAATCCCAATATGGTCCAGAATATGTTGAACAGCCTGTCAAATGGAATGGTCCCAATCAAAATTATAACACTAATTCTAATAATATTGATAACATTAATAATAACATTAAAAATAATAATGATCTTCAGCACACACATCAGTCATCTGAAAATATTCAATATCAAACACACGAGAATGATTTTAATGATGAAGAATATTATAATCATCACACTAATCATAAACATCCCATTCTTCATTCTCATCCTAATGGTCCTCCTCATAATTCTCATCCTGTTCAACATTTTCCTGTAAACATAGGATCATCTCAACCTCCTTTTGTTAGTTTTCCACCAGAAAATCATTATAGTGATGGTCATCATGATCATCATGGTCAACATGATCTACATGATCATCATGGTTATCCAGGATATGAAAATAATGCACCAAATGGTTTAGGACAATATAAACAAAATTCAGGAGAACATCCATATAAATTTGAACCTCCAGTTTTACAAAGTGATTCAAAATGGCAAAGTGAACATCATCATGGGCATCATCATCCTCTAAAGCATCCTTTTTTCGGACTATTTCATAAAGGACCACCATCACCACCACATGTTCCAAAGCATTATGAAAGTGATATAGTAACATCAAATGAAGATGGTACAATAGCTGTAAAGGGTCCACATTTAAATCATAATAGTGAAATTCATTATGAACATGGTGAACAATATGTAGAAGATGATAGACATCATCCTTATGGTAGTGTAGAGCATTCAAATAGAGGAAAACATAACAAATATTTGTATAAAAAATAATTACTTGTGGAAAATAAATATTTCCAAATATTTTTTTTTATTTTCTTTTAGATATTTTAAAAAAATTGCATCAATAATTGCTGGAATCATACCAATTGGATTATTAATATCAGCCTTAACACCAAATTATGTTGTAATAAATCCAAATGCAACAACGTAAGAAAACTTTAATTTTTTCAATATTTTTGTAGAAAATATAAAAACAAAAAAATATTGCATATATTCGGGAGAAGCTTGTAATTGAATTTTAGATTTTTAATTCAAGAAATTTTTTATTTTACTTTCTTTTGAAATTTATTTATTTCTCTAATTTCAATTAATTCTAAATATAAAAATAATAAATAAATTCAGTTCAATTAGAAAAATTTCACTTATTTTAATATTTAGAATAAAGTTTTCGCGATATATTTGTCATACTTGTTACGTATTTCATGAAGGGAAATAATAAAAACAATTGCATACAGCCAGAAAATCGTGAATCTCAGTGACTACTTGGTCCTATAAGTATGTTATTTTTCTTCCACATTGAATGTATTTATTAAACTTGATTTGTATAACGTTTCCTATTTACTCGTTTACACTCGTTTTAATTAATTTTTATTCCTATTATAATGGCTGGTCTTCAAACTAAATAGTTTAATTTTCATTTAAGTGCTAAGTTGTGTAACAATAGAAATTCTATGAACGTGATTATTCATTTCTGTGGTTACATTAACCTAGTAAAATAATCTTAATATTATCAATTTTTGAAAAAATTTCTTTTTTTGTTACGCCTTTATATTTTCCAATATACACATAGCTATGCTCATATAAAATTTCATATTTATAAATTTTTTAATTAAAGGGTAATATACTAATAATTCAAATTTCCTTTTTTATATTTTTTTCCAAATGATAGAGTAAATTCTCCAGTTGCACCGTTCACCTTAGTACGTCAAAGATCATTAATAGATGAGCAACAGCAGCACCCACAAAAAGGTGTGTTAGAAGAAATTCCATTAGGATTAGAAAATAATAAAGCCCTTAATACAATATCAAATAATGTTACTTTAAATACAACAACAACAGAAAATATTACGAAAGATGGAAAATTGAAAAATAAAAATGATAATAAAATAAAAAATTTATTAAAATTACATAAGAAATTATCAGCGCCATCTATTGCATCAATTATTAAAAATTCAAAATGTATTGAACGTTCGATATGTGAATTAGCAGCAGGAAATAAAAATCCTCAATTATTAAAATCATTATTGGATGAATTACAGAGAAAGTAAGTACAATTATATATAAACAGATGAACTCGTAAGTATATTCGGATAAAAGTATATGTAATTTATAAAAAGAAAACAATGAATTTTTTAAATTTAAATAGTAAGATATTAAATATGTTGACCAGCTCTCTTTTGTTAAAATACAACTCTTTTGTTGACGTTAAATATTATTTTACGTGTTCGCCCCTAGTCTTAGTTATTCTTAACATTATCTTTTTGTTTTAGCTTTCCAAATTTTTCAGAAATATTACAATAAACATGGCGTTTCATGCCCTTTCACATTGGCCCAAAGAATTATTTACTAGACATATATGGAAATCTCTGATAAATTTCAGTGCTGTATGTGCACCGGGCCTGGAAACTTTCAATATTATTATACAAAGCCATTTCGGAATATTACATCATCAAATAGTCCCCGGTCTTACATTCGCCCAATAAATATTCTCAGTCTTCTCTTATTGATGAGTCTAAAATTAAATGTTCCTTATATCTTTTTACAGTAATATGGTCACCATATATTTAAATATTCATATTTATTAAAGTAGAAATTTTATTCAATTACAATCATATTGCATTAATATTAAATCGCTTAAAGCTTTTTTTTTAAACAAATTTCTCACAAATTTTCTTTTATACTTTAAAATTTTTTTTTTATTTTATTTCTCATATAATATTAATAAAAATAAAATAAAACGAAAATAAAAAAAAATTCTATTTTAGCTATCGAAATGAAATTGAAAGTCAAAGTAGTTTTTTAACATTGGATCCAAGACCATCAATAGATTCGCTTGAATTAACACTGGTATCAGCATCACCATTAGCAGCTGAGTTAAGAGCTTCTTCTTCCTCCTACTTACGATCATTCAATAACAATAATAATAATAAAGCAAATAATAAACAATCATTTATTTCTGAAGATGATCTCTTGAGAGCATCTAAAGGTGTGAATTGTTCAAATTTTCTATGTGATGAGTTGATTAATAAATAGTTGTAATAAATCAAGAAATAAAAATTAGTAAAAAAAATAATAATTGTGAAAATATTAAAAAAATAACCACATCTCATTTCATAAGTGAAAAAAAAAACAAATTTCTCTGTACAATATTTTTTTTTTGCTTTTCTTTTAAATTATATGCGCGAGTAAAAATATTAGAATTTGTTTTTTTTTTGTTGGATTTTTTTTTTTAATTTTTACTAATTTCTGTTTTCTTTTAATTATTAACGGTGTCATTGTTATTTGCTCGTAGTTTTTTTACATAAACTTTTGTAAAAGAAAAATTTAAAAACCGTAATTTGGCAATTTTAATTATTGGTGAGAAATGGTGAAATAAAATCATGAATTTTATAGGGTAAAGAAGTCAGTGGATTTTTGATTAGACTGTCGGAAATTCTTGTTTTTCATCTTCACAATTGAAAACTAATTTTCATAAAGGTTTAAAATATGTAGATTCGTTTTGATTGATTAGCATATGATGTATATATGTACATATATATTTATTTCACTCTATATTTTCTACCCCTAAAAAATGTGAACTAAAGAAGCATTTAAATGAAAAATTAATATTCCCAATTGATAATATTTTCTCTAATTCACTTTAATTCGAGGATTTTCTGAAAACTTTACTCATTAACATAATTTAGAATTTCCACCAATTCTAAAAAAATTGAATTTCTATTATTTTTTGTTGAATAAAAACTATTGTCACAAACACAGTTGTAAAAGTTGTTGCGTCAGTCATCAATAGTTAAGTTTTATTAACCTAAAAAAGTTTATAAACAAACCAAACAATTCTATTTGAATAAAATTTTTGATCGGTCAATAATTTGACATTGAGTGGAAACTCATCTTTAGATTTCAAGACGATTTTATCTGACATGGTGTTGTGAAACAGTTTTATGTTATTAAATTTCAATAGCTAGTTAAAAAGCAGTACCAAGCAATCAACACAAACACTATCCACAGAATTTTAAAATTTTATCCACAGAATATTAAATTTAAAAAATATAAAAGGGGGTTTTCGTTTATTTAGTTCTAGAATAGTTCTAGCTTGTAGTACGTTCGAAAATTCACGCTACATACACTGAAAATATAGATCGTTCGAAAATTACTGGCTGCAATAAAGTGCGTTCGGAAATTCAATCTGCAATAAAGAAATGTTAGAAATGTAACGCAGACTTCCAGTTTAAATTTTTTCGCTGCTTGCTGGAGCTTCTTTTTTTTTTCAAATTTAAAATTAAAAAAAAAATTTAAATTTCAAAATGGCAGATTCAGATATTGAAGGGCTATTAAAGTAAATTTTCTTTAAGTTTTCAAAGCTTGTTAAAATTTCCTTATTTTGCAGTGAATTGGATGACGAAAAGTATTGGGATACAATTTCATAAACAATTTTATTTATGTTAATTTCGAATGATTGATTATTCAGAAATGTCAGAATTTATAGACTGCGTAAACAAAATAAACTTAGCTTAAGTTTTTGAATACTGTTTAACGTTGTGACTTATAAATTTTAGTTCTAATGTAGAACTTTCGGTGTGCAGCGTGCATAAACGAAAACTCCCTATACAAGCACTATACACAGAATTGTACAAAATATAACATTAATGTCATCATATAACTACTTTATTAGTATGTGACGAATTCACACTCAATTTTAATTAGAAAAAGTTTAATACCAAAATTTAATAAAAAAAAGTAATCATTTGTTAATCAAGTAAAAAAGATATATTTAGTAAATTGAAATTTTATAGAAAAATAAATGTGTTTATAATTATTAATTAATTAAAATTTAAGAAGAATATTAGACATAAAATAAATTAAGAAACAAAAGAGAGAAACGAGAAGAAGAAAGAAAGTTATTAAAATATTAAGATGTAAAGGGTTGGATTAACAATAATTACCATTTTGGGTAAATTTTAATTAAGGTATATGACGGGAACTTGTATTCGTGTTTGATTAATTTATTATTACGATTTCAATAAAAAAACAAAAAATTTAAAATTTTTATTTTCCTTTTATTAGTTTACTTTTTATCACGCCGTTTCGTGAATTACAAACGTTTTAAAGTTTAAATAAATGCAAGAAATGTGAAGTTAGTAAAAAAACAACAAATTTTTTTTAATCTGTTTTTCAAAATAAAAGAAATGAGAAATTTTTGTGATTCATTTTTCAATTAATTTGTATACAAAAGCTCAAAACAAAAGGAAAATAAGGTGATAAATAATAAAAATTATTAAAAGCATTTCTGTAGCAATCAACCAATACTACGTAAGGCAGATAATGTGAGTTTTGAGTAAATTAAGCCGAACTTTAGTAGTTTTGCATTGTTGCCATTGAATTATATTTGCAGTCTATGGAAAAAGTAAGTACTTATTCGAATATGTTTTTAAATATGAATGAATTTTTCACTTCATTCGTTATAGGTTTACGTTGTTTATATAGTTCGTATTAAATGATTACCTAGCCAACAGCAATATTGGATAGTTCGCAAAAATTTTCACGCCAGACTCGAAATATTATCACATCCCCTGTCTTATATAAATTTAGGAATCCCGTTTAATAAAATAATCCCATCCTATATAAATTTAAGGCATTTTACGAGGGCATATACAAAAATTTAAAATACCAATTATCTCAAACTTACACATGTCAAATCTGATTATGACTGTAATTAACTATTAAAAGTCATATACAGTTCATTTGTTCTAAATTGAAAATTGCAAAACTACATACATCCAAAGAAACACACACATATTTTATTGTTTTCTTATAAATGATCGTAATGTCATAAGTTAATTTGCAGCTTTTTGATTGCAATCAATTTAAAATTTCAAAAAATTAATTATAAATGAAAATGAAATTTTGTTGTTGTTGTTTTTATTTTGTTTTACTGCATTAATTCTTGCATTTTCATGGCATTTAAAAAAAAATTGAAAATAAAAGAAAAAAATTGATTTTTTGTTTTTTGTTTTTTCACTTTATCATTATGCTTTTCCCTTATTGCCGTTATCTTTATTAACTACACATATACGTATATAGATACATGTGTGTATAGCCTTCATAGCGGTCACATTAAAAGTAAAATTTATTATTCAAAATTACTATCATTTCTTAAATTATTATTAAAATGTCAAGAAAAAAACTTAAAAAAATGCATGGCATCAAAAATTTTAAAATTTCTGTGGTGTACAAAAAAAATGTATTAAATTGACAATTTTTTTAAATTCATAGTTTGATTTTCAGATTAAAAATTTCATTATTGAAGTGTTTCAACTTGATTAAGACCCTCATATTTATAACACTTCGTTAATCGTTGCTTTAAATATTAAAGCCAATTTTACGAAGTGCTTTTCAACTTATGAAAAATAAATAAAATGATAGTAAGGTATTGATTGCATGAGTGCCACAAAGCTGGTCTCATCGGAATGTAATTTTGTTATAGAAAATAGAATTTATCGGAATCATTAAATTTCCTTTTAAATAACCAAAAATTGTTGGTAATATAAATTGTTCTGTTCGGATGCATGTTCCTAAAGAGTTGACTACTACCTAATACGAGTTTTTATACGATAATATTGTGTGTATAAGGTACTCAAAAATCGTGAGTTTGTTATATAAACCAAATTTCATGTTGATTTTTCAACTATATTATAAAGAATTATTAAATGTTTCTATGTAAAAACAATGCATTTCTTTTGTTTAATTTAATTTTAAAATAATATTTCAATATCGTATATAATTTTACACAACATGTTCGTTATACATTGATACATATTATGTGCTATTGTTTAAACTTTATGTGTTATATTATTTGCATTGTTATGTAACACGATTAAAATACACAAATTATTTAAAAAAAAACAAGAAAAACAAAATTGTCACTTCAGTTTTGGTTGATGGTTGCTTTTTTAATATTTTATTTAAATATTTTATATAATCACCACTTTTCTTTTTTTTTTAGCCAAAAACCAAAATAAAAAAAATAAAGATTTTGCTCAAGTTTTTCAAAATTTTAAAATGTGACAATTTATTATTATTTTTCGGTGATAAATTCAAAATTATTTAAAAAATTCCTATACAATAGCGATTTACTTATGCATTTATGAATGTATGTATTTATGCATATTAAGTGTGTTCATATATATAAATATAACACTATCAGCGTTCACACTTGGATACGATTGTAGCCATTTGGATATATTTTTGCTTTAAATTTTATGTAGATACAAAGAAATTGAAAACTGTTAAAATGCCGCAAATGGCTACATTTGAAAATTTTTCTAAAATATGGATGCATTTCTTACTCAAACACTAAATAAATATTACAAAACTGTGAAAGTGCCGCTAATATTATATCGCGAAATTGCTTATTTTCAAAAAAAATTTATTTGCTAACTTTACTAAACAGATTTCCAAATTTTTGGGAAGAAAATAAGAAATCTTTCTTTTGTTCAAATCTAGAACTATTAGTCATAGAACATACTAGAAACATATTTGTGTAAGCTAGGTGTAGTAGAAAATGCATTGACTGCACATATTTTTTAAAATATTTATAATAAATCGTCTTTATCGCAGCGAGAACACGAATTTTCTGACCTTAAATTTTACAATTAAAATGCAATAGAAGTTTTATTTGGTTTCTTAAAGAATTTGCTATAAATATTAAACTCACATTGCAGAAAATACGACGTCTTAGTATAATATATCTACTTTGTGAGGTTGAATACATTTTGGATACATTTTATTTTCACCGAGTGGGAACACTGAACACTATTGTTTAAAAATTATTATTATTCTTTTAAATTATTTTAACAAAATTTTAAATGAATTGCGTTGCTTTGTGTTGAATTATTCATGCTTAAAAAAAAAAAAGTTAAATGATTGCACGACTTCATACCAATATACGCATTTATGCATAACCCAACATATTCACACACACACATATGAGCTACACATAACGTGAATTCTGCTGCTTTTCTACTGCGATTGTC